ATTCTAGTGTGACTTGGTCGTTTTTGATGAAAGCTTGGTTTAAATTATTCTCTATATTTGAGACCTTTCGTAAGGAAATAAAACTCAGTATGGTTGTTGTATACATATTTTACGTTCAGATAATGCTCGAGAATATAAATTTGATCCTTTTTCAACTTATCTTAGTAAAACTGGCATTATTCATCAGACTTCCTATTTTTACACATCTCCACAGAACGGTGTTGCTAAACGTAAGAACCGTCATTTGTTGGAAGTCACTCATGCCTTGTTATTCCAGATGAATATTCCCCATTATTTTTGGAATGATATTGTTCTTATTGCTTGTCACATTTGAGGAATTTGCTCCATTTTTTTCAGCACCTTCTCAGCCTTTGGATCTAAACTTTGGGTCACCTATTGTACCACCATCTCCTCCCTCATCTTCAGATATTTCGTTGCCCACTGTGTTACCGTCTACTTTACCTCTTCGTGTATACTCTCGTCGCCCTCGACCATCGACTAAGGTGACCGTACCGTCTTCCTTGCCACCTTCTGATCCTGGCCCATCAGGTAATTTTGACTCTTTACATATTGCTCTTCGAAAGGGTACTCGTTCGTGTGTTACTAATCATCCCATTGATCATTTTGTTTCATATGATGCCTTATCTCCTGTCTTCTCTTATTTTACCTCTCAATTATCTACTAAATCTATCCCTAAGCATTTACATGCTATTTTATCTGATTCGGGTTGGAGGAAAGCTATGGAGGATGAGATGGACGCCTTACATCATAATGAGACTTGGGATCTCGTTCCTTTACCCCCTGGTAAACGAACTGTTGGTTGCCGTTGGGTGTATACGGTTAAATTTCATCTTGATGGTTCTGTAGAGCGTCTCAAAGCCCGACTTGTTGCAAAGGGCTTTACTCAAACCTATGGTATTGATTATGAGGAGACTTTCTCCCCTGTTGCAAAATTTCCTCTGTTCGTATCTTGATTGACCCTTGTTTCAATTAGATGTCAAGAATGTCTTTCTAGATGGTGACTTGGTTGAGGAGGTATACATGGAGCAGCCACCTGGGTTTACTGCTTAGGGGGAGTATGGTAAGAGTGTATGCCGATTAAAGAAATCTTTGTATAGTTTGAAGCAGTCACCGAGAGCATGGTTTGGTAAGTTTTCATATGCAGTTTTAGAGTTTGGTCTACTTCGATGCCAAACAAACTATTCTGTGTTTCACAGATAGACGGATGCTGGATATGTCCTATTGGTGGTCTATGTAGATGATATTGTGATTACTGGAGATGATTCTAAGGGGATTGCCAAGTTAAAAATCTTATTGCAAGATCGATTTTCATACTAAGAATTTGGGAAAACTCAGATATTTCTTAAGAATTGAAGTGGCTCGATCTAAACAGGGTATTTATTTATCACAGAGGAAATATGTACTTGACATGCTAGAGGAAGCAGGTTTACTGGGTGGCAGACCAATTGATATTCCTATGGATCCGAATCAGAAACTATTGATGGATGATGGTGCATTATTTGAGAATCCGGGTCGGTATTGCAGATTGGTTGGGAAACTCAATTACCTAACTATTACTCGACCGGATATCTCTTATGCAGTCAGTATAGTAAATCAGTTTATGGGGTGTCCTAGAGTACCACATTGGGAGGCCGTTACTCGTATTTTGCGATCTCTCAATCGAACTCCTGCACTTGGACTGATATATCAAGCTAATGGACATCTTAGAGTGAAAGGTTTCTCAGATGCTGATTGGGCTAACTCTCCTTCTGATCGGAGATCAACCACTGGTTATTGTACCTTCTTAGGAGGTAACGTTGTCTCATGAAAAAGTAAGAAACAATCTATGGTAGCAAGATCTAGTGCTGAGGCGGAGTATAGGGCAATGGCGTATGCGACGAGTGAGTTGACTTGACTGCTACACTTTCTCTAGGAAATTGGGTTTCCAGTTCAACCTCCTTTACAGTTGTTTTGTGATAATCAGGCAAATATCCATATATCGCTATCAATCCAGTGTTTCACTAGAGAACTAAACATATTGAGGTTGATTGTCACTTTATTCGGGACAAAATAGTAGCTGGGGAGATTACAACTCCATTTGTGAAATCTGAAGATTAGCTTGCAGATATGTTTACCAAAGCATTGAGTCATACATGTCTTACGGCGATTTATTCCAAACTTGGATTATATGATATATATAGTCTAGCTTGAGGGGAAGTGTTAAAATTATTAGAGTAGTCTGTGTAAATTGTTAATAGTGGTAGGATAGTATGTGTAATTCTTATTATTATTGTAAGTTAACTATAAATACAATGATATATGAGAACTAGGTCAAGCTTTTGACCTCTCTCTGTTCCTCTTCAATATATTGTGTTAATCTTTTACACTTAACAAAGAGAAAGGGCCTTTCGTGCACATAAGGATTTCCACTAAGCTAGTTTGATTAATGAAGAGGCTCTTGGAACTTAAAAAGGAGAGGCAGATGAGAGTCAGGGTAGATACGTCGAATGTCATCTGGAGGGATCTCTTTGAAAGTAGACCTAAGCATAGTTTTAAAACTCAACCAGACATCAACTTGGTAAAGGAATCAGGTCAATGAGTCATTAGTTCAATCGTTGGGTCACTAGTTGAACTGGTAATATAATAAAAAAATAAAAAAATAAAAAAAATAATAAATAGACTAAAACATTATAAAGATTATGAAAAATAACATGTTTAATCTATATTAAATAAAAAAACAAAAATTATCAGTCCAATACCTTCAAAAATGGAGATATACCAAATATTGGTATTAAAGCTAATAGATCCACATATCCAAAAGACAAATAGGGAAACAGATTAACATATATTGCTAATACACTATGGTGAATCTATGCAAACAACCAACGATATGAGAATCTCAGTGCGATACAACAAAAAAATGGAAATAAACATAAATTGATATAAATAAAAAAACATAAATTGATAAACCTATAGATCGATGAATCTATGCATACCAATACCACACACAAACTTAGATTATTAACTGAAGGATAACTATCTGTTGTATGATTCGAAGATCCAAGTTGAAGATCTGGGAATTTTAGTCCAAGTTTTGAGGATCTGAGAAACTAAGTCCTTCGATTGAGTGATGTGCTGAGTGCACTATGCACACAGAGAGAGAGAGAGAGAGACGACTAACCAGTGAGTAACTGGTCGTTCCCTCATTGGAGTCGTAGTCTAGGAGGCACGAATGAGAGAAGTAGAAGGAAAATATGGAAGATCGATCAAATTTGGGCAAAAATTCTCTAAGCCTACCTTTTATAGCATTCTAATTAAGCCGTTAGGTTTGCTCTAAATCGTCTGGTTCAGCGAGTTCGTTACAAAACCAGCTAGGTCATCCGATTTCTCTTGGTTCCTTTGCTCGAACGATCTAATACCTAAACTAGCCTGGTTTAGGGTCTAGTTCATCAGTTCACCTGGTCAACCCATTCAGCTGGGCCAGTTTTTAAAACAATAGGCCTAAGGGCCATCTCTGTTGGAGAAGACTTAGAGAACGGGTTAAAAGTGTGAAGAGTAATATGATCATTTGGAACTCATGAAAGAGTCGCTTCAAGCACAACGACATGAGAGGGCTCCATTAAAGAAGAAGAAGAGAATGTCATAATAATGACAAAAAAGCAAGTCTGAGGATGGATTATATAGGTGCGAAGAACGAACCATTGCAATGATGAAAAGAAATGGACGGATTGCATGCCAACTGCTTATTGCAGATTTGAAAAGACGAAAGATAGACGAAAAACCTTCATGTGGAAGCTTGGCCGCACCCTTTAAGCTTCACTGCCAATAGTGGGATGATAACTAAGCAGGGCAAGTATGTGGCAAAAGCTTAAATTTAAAGAGCCAAAACGACAATTTGAATATGAAGTGTTCAGTCACATAATTTTTTTTTTTTGGGGGGGGGGGAGGAAACAATGTTTACACCAAAAAATAGCAAAATTTAAGGATGACACGTGGAAACAACATGAAGGTCATAAAAGAGCTTGTGATAGTCTATACTTGATGGGAGGTTAAGGAAGTGGGACTCTAAGTATCCCGAGAAGCGGGAAAATGTGAAATCATGAGCCTCAGTTATATACAATTCAGTGCATGTCTACACATCTCAAAGATAAATGTCATGATTACAGTCATGGCTGGAAATAATGGCTTTGATGGTTGAAGACCTTCCCTATAAAGAACAACGACAAGACTATGGATAAAAGATCCATGATCAAATACAATAAACTCTACACAAAGTCAGCTTCTCTCCTACCTACTATTTTTGACTTTCCAAGTAATTTTATTTTACCTATAACTCATCACTTTAGTGGTCTTTACTGCTTTCAATTAATTTAGAGTTAATTGCAGCTGTGGTCCCCATAATATGCATTTTGTCTCATTTTGGTCCCCAATGTTCTAATTGCATCAAATTGGTCCCTCATGTATTACATGTACACTTACCTATTCCCCGTCGTTGATGTTGTCCACAATTCTCACGGTTTATAACCATATGCCATCCATGTGACCACATGTGAGGGGTTTATATGACATTTAACCCTCCTCCCACTCCTGTTAGTCAAATTGATCAAGAGACTCTTCAATGTCTTCACTTATTTTGCAAGGTGTTTGATTTCAATTAGGGCAAAGCAAAAAAATGTTACATTTCAAATGAAGGAAGAATGGGAATCAATATGCAGATGAAGACATTCCCCATTATGGTATGTACTAATTCTTATAGATTTGAGTCTAAGGTTCATGGGTAAGCCTGATTTTTAAAAGTACGTATTCAATATTATATAGTTTATGTGTTTGTTCGAAACCATTTATTTATGCATTGGAAACTCTTTGTTAATATTTTATGTGTTAGTTGCAATATTTTGTAGTTGATGTGGTCCTTGAAAATCAGTTGTTGATTTTAGGTTTTTTTGAAAATATTTGTGACAAAAAACAATTGTATAGGGCCTAATTCTTCACTTTTCTCAATGGAGGTTCACCACAGTGGTGAATTTAGGGAGAAGCCAAACAAGGTTTATGTTGGAGGACAAATGGATTACATAGATGACTTGATGTTGCTTATTGAAATGGATGATATAGCCTTTATTCTTGGATATGCTCCATACATTGGATATTATTACAGAATTCCTGGTATGGATTTACACAAAGGGCTAGTACATATGATTAGTGATGAATAGGTTTTGGATATAGCACATAATTTGAATCGAAAAAGGGTAGCTCATGTTTATTTTCATCATGTAGATGGTATTAAGTTAGTGGAGAATCATCAGGTTGATGGTGATTTCTCAGTTGATAAAGGGAAAAGGGTAGCATCAGAGTGTGATGAATTAGATAGTGAATACCAACCTGACTTTGAATCTAGTGAGTATGATATGTTGGTTGACAGTGATTATGAAAGTGAGTATGATGACATGTTGTATGATAGTTACGTTGATAAGGAAGCTGAATGGACTGGTTTGAAGAGTAATAGGCTGAAAGAAACAGAAACAGACAAAGGGCAATAGGTAGAACTTAGTGATACAGATGGTGATTTTGAGGAGATTTTAAGCTGCTTTAGCTCATCTGATGGAGAGAATCATGCAAGGAACATAAAAAATTTAAAGTATTTAGGGCAAAAAAGATGAGGAAGACCCACATTTAAACTGGGCATGTTGTTTAGTACATCTGAGGAGATCAAGACCGCCATTAGACTGTTGGAACGAAAATTCTAAGAGCCGTTGACAGCACGTATGTATCAAATATCACAAAATTTTCTTTAAAACCCTACAAAGCGAAAGTAGGGTTTACCTTCGAGATCTCTCGGGACTGATCTCGTCTCAACACAAACGCAAAATAGAACAATGACTACAGCTCGATGAACCTCGCGGCCTTCTATTGTATATCCCCCAACATCAAAATACAGATGTAGTGTGGGCTACCAACACCTCCAAATCCTTGCTCCCTCTTTCATCCTCTCTAAAAAACGTGAGTAAAGAATAGATGCTGAAATAGAGAATCTAGATGTCTATATATAGGCTACGGTAGAGACCCTAAGTAGAAATAAGGACCGGGCTCCCAATAGGTTTAGGATTCCTATGTTCAACCCAGAATAGACATCCTACAACCAATTAATCATAAGTCAGTCTATTAAAAACTTATTATTGATCTCATGGGCCTTATCTCAAAATTATATTCGAGCCCCTTATTATTATTTGCTTAATAATCTCCCTATATTTTAAATTATAGATGTCCATTAATTAAATAAATCACTAGCAATTATATTTAATTGACTTCTTTTATTCCTTGAGACCTTACCACTCAACTTATTTTTCATGTAGGATAATTAAATCCACCTGTAGGGTTTGACATGGACAAAACTTATGAGATTCCTCAAGAGAACATCATCAACTCATTTAAATACTAGGACGTGGTTTTCTTTAATATTTAATTTTCACCATACAAATAACATTATCTCCCAATTCATCGAGCTTATTGACCCAAAATGAATTTCACTCTTTGATGAATTAAAGTGACAAACATTATATGCACATGAAAATTAAATATTTAGGGATTAAGAGCATAAGCAATTATAATAATAATAAGGTATTTATTATCTTATTAAATCAGTAAAAAATAATAACCTCATCACAGGTCTGTTTAATACACAAAATGTGCTAGTGCAATAATCCAAGACATCAAACAATCTCCTATAGTCAAGAAAGACTATGCTTGAATATTACACTACAATCATACCGATGGCGTGTCCAATTCCATCTACGATTATGAACACATACTCATATTATACAAGGATCCAATAATCTGGTCTTTTATGCATAAGTCGAATTCTACACACTAAATTATCTACAATGTAAAATATAAGACACACATGCATATTATATATAAAATATAATACAAATATTTTGCCAATATAGATTCTCAATAAAATGAAAAGAATAAACTTTTAATAATTAATAAAATGAGTTTCACTACAAAAAGTAAACTTTTAGTATACTACTCTATCAATTCTTCCACTTATACTCAAAGCTATGTTGTCATACATCTAACTCTCATTCCCTCCACATGACTATCAAAAGTCTTTGCTGGTAAGCTCTTTGTAAAGGGATCTGTCAGGTTGTTTGCTGATGGAATCTTGGTCACCACTACATCTCCTCTTCTCGCGATATCTTATATAAGGTGATATTTGCGCGCTCAATGTGATTTCCCTTCTTATGGGTTAGTGGTTCCTTCAAGTTAACAACCGCTTTGCTATTGTCACAATAAAGTGTAATAGTCGATTTTATTGAGGGTACCACTTCTAAATCCATTAGGAAGTTTCTAAGCCAAACTGCCTCTTTGGCTACTTCAGAAGCCGCCACGTAATCGACTTTCATGGTGGAATCAGCAATATAATATTGCTTGATACTCCTCTAACTTATGGCTCCACCTCCTAGAGTACACACATATCCGGAAGTTGACTTCTAGAATCCCTATTTGACTGAAAATCAGAGTCCGTGTACCCGATGGGTACTAGACTATCTATCGGGTAAACTAACATCTAATCTCTTATCCTTTTCAAGTACTTGAGAATATGTTTTATTGCAATCCAATGTTCTTGCCCAGGGTTAGACTGATATCTACTAATCATGCCAATGGCAAAACAGATATCAGGTCTAGTGGAAAGATAGCATACATGACACTTCCCACTGTCGAAGCATAAGGAACTGCCTTCATTCTCTCTGTCTCCTCAGCTGTCTTAGGACACTGCTCCTTTGATAGAGAAACTCCATGTTTGAAAGGAAGAAATCCCTTCTTGGAATTTTGCATGCTAAAACGGGGTATAATGGTATTGATATAGGTAGTTTGAGATAAGCCTATCACCCTATCTTTGCGATTTCACATAAGCTTGATCCCAAGGATGTGACTAGCCTCTTCCAAATCCTTCATATTGAACTGATTGGATAACCATACCCTAACAGAAGATAACACCTGACATCGTTTCTGATGAGTAAGATATCATCCATGTAAAGTACTAGGAACATCACCACATTTTCGTCATGCCTTTTATACACACAGGACTCATCAGGGCATTGATTAAAACCATAAGATTTAATAGTTTGATCAAAATGAATTTTCCAAGATCTAGATGCCTACTTAAGTCCATAAATGGATCTCCTAAGCTTGCACACTAGATGCTCTTGGCCCTTTGCTACAAATCCATCTGGTTGTACCATATAGATACACTTGTAACGATTCTCGTTAAAGAACGTTGTCTTGACGTCCATTTGCCAAATCACGTAATCGAGATAAGCTACAATGGATAAGAGAATCTGGATCGACTTCAACATAGCTACTAGCAAAAAAGTCTCATCATTATTGATTCCCTCTTTCTGATTATACCTTTTTGCAACAAGCCTTGCTTTATATTTTTCCACCTTACCGTCTGATCCTTTCTTTCTCTTATAGACCCACTTGCATCCAATGGGTTTTATCCCATTGGGTGGTTCTACAAGTTCCTAGACTTGATTGGAGTACATGACTCCATCTCAGATATCATAGCTTTTTGCCACAGTTTTGCATCTTTATCTTGGAGTGCTTCGTTGTAGGTCTAGGGATCAGCATTTTGTTCCTCAGGAATCCTGTCAAAAGACTCTTCCAAGAACATAACCATTCGGGTTAATGAATGACCTTCCCTCTACGACGAGGCTCTACCTGTATCTATGTATTATCAGTAACATCTTGTGCAGGTTCTGCATGAGTATCAATATTCCTCCCACTACGACGAGGCAATGGGATATCATCTATTCTTTCATGTGATGCCTTCCTTCATACAATTGGTATTGAAGAAGTATTCTCCGATCTATCTCCTCTTAACTATTCGAGAACAATTCTACTCTTAGGCTTGTGATCTATCACATAGTCTTCCTCTAAGAATCGAGCATTGGTGCTAACAATGACCTTCTAATCCTTAGGACTATAGAAAAGACCACATGTTGAACCTCTTGGATACCCTACAAACTAGAAGACTTTTGTTCTTGACTCTAATTTATTCGTGTTCCCTTTCAGCACGTGTGCTGGACTCCCTCAAATCCAAATGTGCCACAAACTACGCTTACACCCAGTCCATAATTCTGTGGGAGTGGTAGGTACTAACTTAGATGGTACTAAGTTAAGAATGTATGCCCCAGTTTCCAAGGCATATCCCCAAAAAGAATCAGGTAAAATTGAATAACTCATCATAGATCTAACCATATCCATAAAAGTCCTATTCCTTCTTTCTGTCACACCATTTTGTTTTGGTGTGTGAGGTGCAGAAAACTAGGATGTTATCCCTACCTCTGATAAGGAATCCCTAAACTATCCTAAGAGATACTAGCCACCATGATCAGATCATAATGTCTTGATACACTTCCCTTAATGCTTCTCCGTTTTCGCAATAAACACTTTGAAGTTCTCAAAGCATTCAGACTGAAGGCGAATCAAATAAATGTACCCATACCTTGAATAATCATCAATAAAAGTAATAAAATATTCAAAGCCACCTCTTTCTTGGACAATCATGGGTCCACACAAATCAGAATGAACCAATTCCAACGGATCCTTTGCTCTATAACTCATGGTCATAAAGGGCCTCTTAGTCATTTTACCTTCCAAGAAAGATTTACAGACTGGAAGTGCCTCCACTTCCAATGAACTCAATAGTCCATTTGCAACCAATCTTTGAATACTTTTTAAGTTAATATGACCTACGCGTAAGTGCCAAAAATACATTTGGTTCATTTTAGAAGGTTCATTTCTCTTACATGATAAGGTACTAGTATTATTCAATTCAGTTAATTGCAACGTATGTGAGATAGAATTAACAATATAAAGATCATCCATCAATGAACTAGAACAGATAAATTGCTTATTATGCTTAATAACCACATTCATTAAAATAAATATTATATCCATCTCTAGAAGTCAAAACTAAGTTCCTTCTAATATCTGGTTCATAAAGACAATCTCTCAAAATTAAAATCCTATCTCTACCAAAATATAAATGAAAATCTCCTACTGCAACTGCTGCGACTCTCATAGCATTGCCCATGTGAAGATAAATCTCCCCATCACCAAGTCATTTGGTTTATTGGGACCACTGCAAGTATTTACAAACATGATTAGTGGCCCCTGTATCTACACACCAGGTACTGGTAGATGACACCGCTAAACATGATTCAACAACTAGTAAATGAGATTTACCTGGACTGTTCATCTTAGAGAGATAGACCAGACATTGGTTCTTCTAGTGCCCTAATTGCTTGAAATGAAAACATTTGCCTTTAGGCTTTTTAATGTAACTTGAGGCGTCTTAACCCATTTTTGAGCCTTTTTCTTTTTCTTCTTACCTTGTGGCTTAGAGTTAGAACATTTCTCAAACACATAAACGCGATCCTACTTCTGAAATAGACCCTCAGCTGCCTAGAGTTCCATAAGAAGTTCTGCCAATGTATAAGAACACTTATTCATACTGTAATTTAGGCGAAAT